GTTATTTTGTAAATTATTAGAACCAATCAGCGTGGTTATATCCTCAGGAATCACTCTCGTAATCTTCTTCCCGTGTCTTTATTTCTTTCTATATCTCCTCTCACTCTCCCGACCCCACCATTCATCCTATCTGACCTGTGAACCTCTGTGGAAAGGATGTCACTCCCAGTGGGCTGACACAGCTGAAGATAGCACACGCACAAACACCAGGAAATCCTCAGCTCTGTTTTATTTATTCAAGCCTCCCACTCATTCCTCTGCAAAAGATAAGTGCAGGGAATGAGGGATTGAAGATGAAATTTTCCCCCCATAGCATTACACACATCAAAGCTTAAAAACACAATTACCATTAACATCTGACCTTGCACATTCCCCAACATGAATTTTAAACAAGCTTCCTCTTTACCCAGGCCTAAATAACCCCTAAATACCTTGGAAAATTATTCATCACGGTGTCATATAGCAGTTGCCTCAAGCTTAAATATAGGATTGTCATGAACCGAAGTTCAGTACGCAAGCTGGACCCAGAAGCAGAGACAACACGCACAGGAGTACGAAAAATAAACTTTATTTTAACTAAAGGTGTCCCGGAAGGGTCAAAGGAAAACACGCGAGAAACTAGAAAAACCAAGGGACCGGGGGATGAGTTACGCAGGAACGCAGTAATCGGGACTGTGGGAGGCTGCAACAGAAAAAGGGAGAGAGTTACTGGGGAGCCGGGAAATAGCATACGTGGGGGGAGAGTATGAGTCTTACAGTCAAAGCGGGGCCGTGGGAGCCGGAGGGAGGGGTGAGGGTCCGCGGGGGAGCTCCAGGAAAGTAGAGGTGATCGGTACCGGAGGCGATCCAAACTCCAGACGGGCAGGTGGACAGGCAGGTGGCTCAAAAACACGCCGAGCTGTTACCTGAGCGCAAAAGAAAAGATTAGTGTTTGTTCAGGTAAATGAGGGTTTTCACAACCGCCTTCCCGTGGGTGTACGTTACCGCTGTGAGACGACTAACAGACTGGCGTGGAGCAGCTGGCTGGGCTGGATCAAATAGTCCACCTGATAATCGCCTGAGATGGGATGCAGGTGTGGAGTTAACAGCCACACCCGTGGGCGTGGGCATCCCATCAGCTCCTTGGACACCGGGCCGCGGACCATGACAAGGATGGGTTCCTTGTGCTGATTTTGTCAGAATATTCATCATAACTGTCGAATTCTTCAGCTGCGTGTCAGGCAGAATCAAATGAGGGGGGCATTCATATCGACCAGTCAGAACAGAAAAAATAGTTTAAAGAATACCTTATTTGTATTAATATTCATGTGTCTGTGAGGATATTTTCCTGGTGTGGGATTAAGGCTTAAGAAATACCAATAACAGTAGATAAAATAAGTGCATCCACACCAATACCAGCACCTTGGCGACAGGTTGACATTTTCCATGTTTTGACAGAAAGAAGCAAATCCCATCTAACTGAGGGATGCTTGTCAGCCCTCTAACCATCAAACCGATGTCAGGAAAAAATTGCGCACCAGCCATAGTCTGCTCTTCCTCCAGTAGCGCAAGCACATCTGCAGATATAAGCACAAGCCATTTACTCAGCTTGTGTATTGTAGATCAAAAAAGCAAACGCACAATGCACGGTTGAAAGATGTCAACTAATGACAACAGCTCAACAGTGGATTTGAAGCTCCCAGACCTTTGCTAAAAGACTAAATTGATGATCCTGGCTACCTAGAGCTGTAGTCTTCTGCTGGCTGGCTTCTCTCAGCTTAGTGGATGATACATTAGATCAGTCAAGCATGCATGCATGGAGAAAGAAATAGATGAAGAGAAGGTGACGAGAACGGTATATCCTCAACCAGTTATACTAAAAGGATGCTGAATCAGCAGGGGGTCCATACTTACATCTGGTTGAACTGTTTTACTGTTTTCTGATTTCAAATAGCATGCACAGGAATGGATTATTCCCTACTCCCCTTCATATCTTTTATTTCCAAAGCAATGAAAGCATCACATATCACTTTATTTTCCCAGGAAAGGGGCTTACAAGGATTAAAAAGGCATAAAGCAAGGCTGGTTAAAAAAAACACTGCAGAAATACATATGGGTTTAAAGGAGATGCACAATATACTAAAATGAAAATAATCTCTAATTTATTAGGATTTCTTGTATCCAGAAAAAAAATCCAGTAAATAAACTCATATTATGTCAAAAGAAATGAAACAGTGACACTGTGTGGTTGTAAAGAGGAACTACTACTGGAAGAAAGTAATTCACTCAGTTATAAATCACATCTTTTAATTTACTTGAGATAAACTGAAAAAGTATTATCCTCATAGTAAAGTCAGTCATTAGTCATTTTTGCATATGCATAAAGTGATAAGGTAAGGTGTAAACTGGAATTAACTGCTTTATTGGTGGCCAAGTAGGGATATGCTGAATGTGAAATTCTGGGGCCCTATTAGTGTTTTCTTCTGTATTTAGTTTTGTCTTGTATAAATATTGTTTAAATTGAAATCTTTTATCACCTAAAACCGGTGCTCTTTCAATATAGTCGTGAGTTTCTAGCTGAGAAAATGTTCTCTGATGTTTTGTAAATATGGATAACAAACAATCGGGCATGAAAATAACTAATAGGTCATGTGCCTAAACTGATTAGTCTTAATAACAATAATAATTTATGAGTCATTGCTAACAAATTTAGAATAACAACAATATTTAACAATATTTAGAATAATCAGTAATATCAATAACAGGGGCGTAATCTCCGGGGGGGGGGTTGACCCCCCCAATAATCAGACCCAACCAATATAACCCCCTCCACAATAAAATGATGAATTATCTTACATAAATAAGATGGTGATTTTGATTTTCTTTACTCATTTCAGGTAGGGGAGACCGGGGATAGTTGTAACGTGGGTCAGTTGTAACACTGCCATTTTCTCCAATCAGGGCTAAGTTTCAAATGATGTGACTCATCCTGTACATGCCCAATTCAGTTCTGCTATCACATGTGAAAAATCAGCACATTTTGTCAAACACAGACAATTTAACATGAAAAAAAGTAATTTGTATGCCAAAAAGTAAGTTTTTCTACTTTATTTCAATTTCTAATAGCATTATCTGCTTTGCAGTTAAACTCATCAAACTTAAATTATGTTATTTGTATGTCTGTGGGGATATATTCTGTGTAGGTCTTTAGTGCTAATGTTTTAGCCGTTGGCTGTAATGTTAGCTAGTTCATGGCTATAGGAGTCTGGGTCAGTTGTAACAGCAACAGTCTGGGTTAGTTGTAACAATAATGCAGATGTTACAACTTACCACACTATTACTTTAACTTATATTAAACAAGTTGGGGCAACGACATCAGCACAGAGAGGTTCACTGGTCACATTTGTATATGTGGTTAATGCCATTGGCAACACAATTCCTCCACTGTTTGTGTTCCCACACATACATTATGCAGACCACTGTGTCAGAGATGGACCAGTAGGAAGTACTGGTAGTGGAAATAAGTCAGGATGGGTGCAAGAAACAGATTTCCTCATCTTTCTGAAGCACTTTGCAAACCACACCAAGGTAAGCCATGATAAAAAGTAATTCAATTGCGATGCTGGTGAACAACTACATTTTTTCAGCTTCATTGTTATGTTTAAAATTGGTGCAAGAGTTGTAGGTTATAATGCCCACTGAGCCAATGAGGCCAAACTCAAGGAAGACCAACCAAAATTAATGAAATATTCAGTTGCAGAAAATTCCAGAATTTGTCTTTTTTGGGGGGTTGGAATATGTTCAAAAGTTAGATTTCTGCATTCTGTCACACACACACACACACACACACAGGAAATGGCTCTAAGTGCATTCATGTGTTGAATAAACAAAGATTACATGTTAATATTTTGTTAGTACCCTTATTTCATTGTGTTACATTTCACCCCGGGATATGTTACAACTAACCCAGACTATGGGGTTAATTGTAACATTTCACTCTTTGTGTTTGAGACCATACCATGCAATGGGTAATTGTGCTGCAGAGAAAATAGCTGCACTATTTAATAGCAGAGACATGTAAATACTTTGCATTACATTTTGAATCCACTACCTTAAAAGAGCTCCAATTTACAGACAGAAATGTCAAAAATGTTACAACTATCCCCAGTCTCCCCTATTACCAAATTACCAAATTACCAAATAGTTGCATGTTTAATCATCTGGGAATTTACCCAGATTTATTTATTTATTTATTTAGACATCTTGATTCCCCCCCCCACACACACACACACACACACACACAATGTTCAGCAAAAAGGCACGTCGATGATCAATAACAATCAATAATATCTGGAGACATTGTTAGTATGTGTATCTTGCCTGATCCTGGTGAGATTCCTAGTGATTTTTTTAACATAGGACAGCCCGTTTTTTAGGTGCATGTAGTTCATATTTAAATCATTAGTCATTTATTAATGAACTCTTAGTACAATCACTGTTTTGACTCATCAGGCGCTTAAAATTGGAAAGGTCTTAGTGAATATTCTGCAAATGTACTCTCATTTTAATGCTGATACAAGATACACACATACACGTTTCATGTTTTTTATTATTATAAGTTACACTGATAATTTTGTATAAATGGCAAGAGAAAAACATGTACATTCACTTGGGAGGTAGAAACAGTTTACCAATATGCCACAGGTTCAGGTGTAACACAATATGCTGATACAGAATATGAGCTGTCAAATCAACTGTTGAAGGGTGTGTCGGCAGATCCAGTCACAAGCTATTAGTGCAGAACTAAGAAACACTTAAATAATTGCTTAAATTATGGTTGAGCTCACAAGTTATGGGTCACTTATTTTGGAAATATGGCCTTTTATAGGGCATTGATAATTTTAAACTCTCATCGTGGTGAGTCAGTTTGACAACGTGAGCATTTATTTTGTCCCAAAGTGTTACAAAAATTCACTTTTCTCTGAGTATAACCAGCTTCAACATATCAGTCTTGGTTTGTTTTATAAATGTGGATTAAAGTAAGACGGCTGGACGAATCCGCTGGACATGAAGGGATGCAGGAGCCCTCCAGTGGTTGAAAGCGGAACACCACCCGCTGCGTGGAAGATCACATTTCCAGAGGTGAAGTTGGAGAAAGTTTGATGGAAGCTGGCAGAGCTCGACCCACACGTGGCTGGGTTCGGACTAACATTAATAAGGGAGTTAGAGCCGGGCTGCAAGGTGCTGTCCGCCCCGGGGTTCTGCTTTTTCCACTTGGTCCTCCGGTTCTGGAACCAGATTTTCACCTGGGTTTCGGTTAGACTTAGTGACAAGGCCAGGTTTAGTCTCTCGCACACAGACAAGTACCGAGTTGCGCGGAACTTGTTTTCCAGGGCCACAAGCTGTTCGTAAGTGAACGCTGTTCTGGCTCGCCGTGGTTTGGCACAGGCCTGGTCCGGGCGCCGGCGCTTGTGCGTTGACTGGTCCTGCAAGGTGACCGCTGACTCCCCGTCTCCACTGTCCTGTTGCCCGGTCAGACAGGGCTCCGTGTCCGCAGGTGGGGAGAGAAGATTGGGGTCTACAACAACTTCGGGGTGCCTGGAGAGTGCAGATTGTTCATCTCTTGCATCTTCTGTGGTAAAAAAAGAAAAAGAAAAGTCAGTTCTCATCCTGAAAGTCGCAGCAGCAAACCCAGTGGAGAATTGCCCAATTTAAATATTATTTATTTTCCTCTAAAATTGAGTTGAGCTGCAGTTGTGAGGTGTTAGTTGACAAAGTATGAGAAGAAACCGGAGTTTTCCTTGCTCGGGCAAAATTAGGTGACAAATTTTTGAGGTGATTCGCAAGACTGAGCTGTGTTTTTAAAGAGGTTCTTTATTTGATTTTAGAGGAAAACGGTGACATTTAAGTGAGTCTGTTATTTAAACAATTGGGACCAAACGCCAAGGAGTGAATTTAACTCCGCGGTGCTGAAGGACAGTTCCTGGCAGGACAGACATCACTTGTAACCTGATTAGGAAATGTGTGTTCCTTGTGGAGTGTTTTTCCTCTTTGTTCCGTGTGAACTGCAGTTTACCAAACATAGAAGGCCTAGGAGTTGACATCTGTAAAGCGTTTGATTAGGATCCTGGGGTCGCTGGAGCGGAACAAAGCATAGATTCTGAGGAGAGGAAGATTTGGTCACTAATCCTTAAATAATTTATAAACCACACAGAGCCTCAAATGTCATGTTGCGGAAAGAAATCCCGTCTAAATCCAGCTTCGCCACCTCAGCCATGACGTGCTAATGGAGTTTCATATTTGCGGGTGGATCGATAAATGTCATCTATTTAAAGGGAAGTTTTAATCGAACGATATTTAGGATCAGACATGGATGGGGTGTGAAGTTTGTACCTGCAAGGTGCTGGAGGGAGATATGCAGGATGCAGTAATGGGATATCGATCAAAGCGCGCAGAGGCATCCTCAATGGGACGATTTAAACAATTATCTAGCCTGCCTGTCCCAATGCCAATCACATACTGGGGCTCTGGGAGCAAGCCTTTGTGGCTTCCTTGAAAGGAAACGCAGCCTTGGAAATTAAGGGAAGGTCATACAGAGATGACAATAAATCTGAGAGATAGCGCCTCACTTACTGCTATTTGGTCTCGGCTTGGAGAAAATAAAACTTTTCAAGTATTTCAAATATTTAACTTTTTTTATACGTCCTCATGTTACAGTGTTCAGACGTCTCATTTAGGCATTCAGTTATAAATATGCACAAGATATGCCTGTGTGTTTTTAAGGTAATTTACAGATCCAGGCACACAAACAATAATATATTTAATGAAAAGATTAGAGCCAAGCTATGAGGTGTGTTTTAAAATAATAAAATTGAGGCGTTTTCTCTACCTGCTTCTGTGCGCTCGAGTCTGGAGTCTCCACCTGCAGTGCTGTCCGACTCCAAAGTTGTTCTCTCCGCGTTTGGCGCAGGTAATAACTTCTCCTTGATGATGGAAAGTTCGTTTACCTTCTTACTGTTGAATTTGTTCGGATCCAATATGTCAACTATAGAAAAGGAAATCTTATGACTGGACGTCATTGTCACTTCTTCAGCTGAGGCATCCTTTACGCAGAAAGACTCTTGGAGATAGATGTGCTGATGTGCTCGATTACGCGCCCGGAGAGAAACTTCTCATAGCTTAGTCTGCTCCTTGTTTTCAAACTTCATCAGACCGGGTTCTGTGGCGGTGATCACCTCCTAGTGTTGTGTTCACTCCTCTGCTTCAGTCTGTCAGTCTCGCAGCGTGACCGGAGCGCAGTCTTTAAAGCGTCTATCCCCCCACCCGTCTCCAAACCAGACACGTGACACAAACACTATTAGCGTTTCACACGACCCCCTAATGGGCTCAAAGTATTCGCCGATAATCACCCATATCATTAAATTCCGCAATTCGCGACCTGAAAGTAAATTGTGCACAGATGGCAGTTGATCCATATCAGAGATCGCCCCGTCTCCCCAAATTGGACCCTCTCTCTCTCCCTTTTTTTGTAGACATCACTAGGACGGAGACTTTCGTATATCTTTTAGCAGAAATCAGGGGTTTTCAGAGTCTCCCTGTAAACAGATAGCTGTTTATTTGCTGCCACTGAAATTGTAGGCTTGTAAAGTAACCAGATTATATTTAGATGTTGACTAAATATTTAGGAGTACACTGATAATGATTATTTACAAGTATTATGACAATATTGTCACTTCTAACACATTAGATTTGGCTTAAAATATTGCAAAAAGAAAAAAGAAAAAAGCATCTCTGATGGCAGTTTAAACCCTTCCCTCCAGAATGTTTGCCTATTTATAATGGCAGCCTTCTGATATAACTCTTTTATCTTATCTATCACGAAATTAGTCTTAATAGCCTTAGTCTCAGTGTTTTTAAGAGCCATGGACTGCAAGAAATGTATACATTTTAAGGATAGAAGATAAAGCCTCAAATGACTAGGTCTGTTCTTTATTGATAATTGAAGATGTAAAATTTACACGCATACTAGAGGAAATTAAACAAAGACATGGGAATTCATGAGGATTCACTAATCTATATGCTACATTCAAAGCTAAATTGCAGGCACGGTATAAATGCAGCTGATTGTTTTCTCACCTCATGCAATCGATTTATATTCACAGTCAATCGGATCCATAGTGCTTGCAATTAGTATTCAATAAAAAGTGACATGAGATTGTTTGGAGCTTCATGCCTGCTGATGGCTAAAATGGTGAAACCAGCACTGGATCAATATTCTCAGCAGGTGTCCAATAGAGATAAAACCTGATGGGTAACAGGCAGTTATTTTGGATACTGGGAAGCTAAACTAGTAAGTGAAACTGCACAGATCGTCTTGCTACAAACTTCTTTTAATCTTAGAATGATCTAAATTATTCTTAATACTTTATTTTGAGTTAATCCCCGCTCTTTTTCATGTTTTACTAGAAATAGACTTAAGAGTCATTGCCAAAATGTACTTGTGTAATAAAATTGTAATGTAAATTTTACTATCTAAGCCTGTGAGGTCCTTATGTTGTGAGTATGAGACAGAAGGCAGACAAGCAATATCTCTGTAATACAGGCTACCAGTGCTGTAATGATTGTTAATGTCTTTGTTCTTTATTCTTTTGCAAAGTACCTCTTAACATTGGTTTTGAAAGGTGCCATATAATTAAAAAAATTACTTACTTTCTTGCTCATGGGGGATCTACACGTGTTTGCACACTGTTAAAGGCCCCCCTACACAGTTTCCTGTGTTACTTACACAGGTCAAGATGATTACTGTGTTACATGGGAGTTTTATTACTTTCCAGTCATAGCCTTCTGGACTGGCACAGTCTGTAGTTACATAGTCAAACATTTGTTGAAGCCACCACTACAGGGTGTCCGCATGTCAGCATTTACATGTGTATGGCACCTTGCACGGCCATTACTGTAGTCCCTCCATATGAATAGAGCCCAGTGCACATTGGAGGTTTACAACTTCCTATGTGAAAGCCCAGTGGCTGGACATCTGTTTGAGTGGGACAAAAGGGATGAGCCTCGAGGACAAAGAGGCCCTCAGGTAGACTTCAGTGAGCGGGAACAGCAGCTGGTTCAGCTCCGAGTCTGTACGGGCCAGAAGGAGACTTCAAAGAGGAGGAGAATTCCTTGTCGAACACAGTGGGGAGCCAAAGAGACACACTTCCAGCCAAGACCCCCCTCCAGGGTCAGTAAAGTCATCACTTCACAGGGAGGCTGCCCCCAGTCTGCTAAACATCAGATAATTTGTCTTAATGGCAGGAGCAACATTATGAGCTCCAGTTCTACTCACACACTGTAGTGTCTTTTGTTTTCTCAAAAGTCCACAGTCTCCCCAAATCTCCTGTAAAGTGGGACTCAAACAAAGGCTCAGCAAGTGTCTGGTTAACCTTTAAGGGCCCAGTATATCCTCTGTACCAGCTGCCAAAACTTTTCAAGACATATTACTGAAGAATATAGTCATGGGCTTTTATGCTTTAGCACTCATGTTAATGTTGAGGGAGACAGTGGAAAGATGACAGGAAAAGAGTGTGGAAGAGTAAATGAGAACGATCAGAAAAAAAAAAGAAATTAAAAAAAAGAAAGAAAACTAACACATGTGAAATTAAGAACATGAAAATTTGATTTGATATCGCCTCTGTCAGTGCGCCCCAGGGCAGCTGTGGCTACAATGTAGCTTGCCATCGCCACTGTGTGAATGTGTGTGTGAATGGGTGGATGACTGAATGTAGTGTAAAGCGCTTTGGGGTCCTTAAGGACTAGAAAAGCGCTATACAAACGCAGGCCATTTTACCATTTTAAATATAATATTGTTAGGAGTTTTTGTTACCATTCTTATGTTGACATTTAGCAAAATTCTACATTGTGCTTCTAAGTGCAGCTTCAAAGAGCTGTTAGCATAGAAACAGCAAAGAAAAGAGGTTGAATGCTCTTCTTCGTTGCTTCATTCCAGTGTTTCTGACATATAACCTTTCAGTTATATTTGTAACTTACTTTTGATGTTGAGCTTGTTTTTCCCACATCATGTAGGCCTTTTCTGAACTGAAATATTAAAGAGGATTCTTTCAAATCAAAATTAATGGAATTTCACATTTTATGAATGTTAACACAAAGGCTTTTCAGTAACTCTGTTCAACATTTTAGTGTAAAAAAGCACTCACCTTCTCAGGAGCTACTTAGTAAAGTTGAGTGCAATCACCATTTATATAAGATTTTTGAGTAAATCAAGTTTTTATAGTGCGCAGTGTTTCACTGAAATAACAACAATGACTCAGGGGAACTTAAAAAAAAGTCTAATTTGATCCTTTAAAACCAACATAGTAGAGTGAAGTTTCATTGTTTTGGTTCTAAACTAAACTAAACTGACCAAACTGGCAGTTTTGTCTCTTAAATTAAGCACCCGATGGTCTGACAGTTTTATAAATAACAAAAAGTGTAAGAAGTCAACAGCTCTGAAACATAAAGAAAACCTGCCTGCTGTCAATCAATTTTTGAGTGCATTTAACATGCACATTAGTAGTTTTAATCATTTTTCTGGAGTTATCTCAACGCATTCTCTGTGTTGCAGGTCATTGGCACTGATGTGTGCCAGCGTAGCTCAATACAGTATAATATTCCTAAATGGGCATAAAACTTTTTCACCTTTTTTTGCCAGCTCTTCTGTGTTTACCAAATGCCTGTGGATGCTACAACCAGCCAGGCCTTCTTTCAGTTAGCCCTCTGTGTTTGTGTGACTCTCTGACAACAAGGTCAGTGGCATTGCCCAGTAATTGTCCTAACGGCCTGTATACCTGTTGGGTGGAGGCGAGTAATGAGAGTTTTTCATTACAGGCGGGACGGGTGAGTGCGCCTGGCAGATGCTGACAGGCAGCAGATGTGTAAAGTTGGGGGTGATTTGTAAAGGGGTCAACTGCCTCGCAGAGGAGATGGAGGGCGATGTGGGATGGGGGTAAATTATGCTGAGGGACACTGTCAGTCATACCACACTACTGTCACAACAAGGTAAAGGTCGGTTCATACATTGGTGTTGTCAGCTAGCGTCACAGGATAGTGTAGTCGGGTCAGGAAAGTGTGCAAACTTTGTACCAAATAATGACTGGAGGGTGGAGTTGAAAGGGTAGCCATTTTACCCAAGACTTGTTTTATCCACAGTCATGGAAAAACTGCCCTGAGTTAGATTTATGTGTGTTTTCTATTAGGTAGTTTTTGTGGTTTTTTTGGATGCACAAAGCTAAACGGGCCTGTTTCTGTTTGAATACCCAGTGTCTGAATCATGTACCTACGCTACAAGCATCTGGTGTACTACAATGGTCAGAGACTGAGCATGCAAAGCTGTAGCTTACCTTGAATGGATGGAGACAGATCACCATCGCCAGCCAACAGGGGACTGAGAGACACTGAGAGCATTACGGTCCTCACCATATCTGTGGCCCTTTTGTGTTTTTAGTTTTCCCTTTCCTCCTGTCTTCCATGTTTCTCTGCCTCTTTCTTCAACTTTAGTGTTAGTCCTAATGTTGCAGGTTAGTTATTTGTCTTTTGGTTACTTCTTATTTTACTTTGAAACGTTAGTTTTCACATGTGTCTTGTGATTTTACTTCCTCTGTTTGTTCCTTCTCTTGCTTTTATTCTTTTCTGCCCTACCTCGCTTGTTTCCACTTATGCCTTCTTCCCACCTGTGTCTCACTTACCAGTCAACCGCCTGTGCATATACACATAGTCTTGCATTTCCCTCTGTTTATCATCATATTAACCCTGTGCCTGCTCTCTTTGTTTGCTTTTTTATTTCTGCTGTCACTTTTGCTACAGAATGTGATGAGCAGCCTGTTTTTAAACTGTGTGAGGACACTGGAGCAACCAGAGGAAACCCACAAAGGCACAAAGACATCCACACACAAAGAGCGCGTCCAACCTAGAGATTGCAACCATGGACATTGTAAAACATGTGTTTTCCTGTTTTTTTTTCCTGTCTTATTTGCTCTGTACAGTGTCCTTGGGTGTTTTGAAAAGCACTTTTAATTGAAAATGTATTATTTTTTAT